ACACACAGACAACCTCTCGTCAATATGCGTTTTCCGCATTGCATAGCTGCAAAAAACGCATAATAACACTTTTTACGCATTTTTGCATATATGCAAGTGCAAAAACGCATATTGGTAAGGGACTGCCTAAGTGTGTGTATGTCTGTCTGTCTATCTGTCTGTGTGTTCGTACTTTTTGTCACCAACTTTCAACTTGTGAACCAGAAAAGCTAGAAGGATGAAACTTCGGGCGTATGTGCCTAGAGCATGCACGACCCACCCGTTTTAATATCATCACCCGTGTAATCCTGGGTGCTGCGTATGGAAGCCGTAAAAAACATGCAAATTTTTTAGCGGGAAAGCGATTTCGGGAACCAGACAAGACAGACAGCTGGAACTTTACAGGGATATTGTGAGCTAAAGATTTTAAATTCAGCCCCCAGGTATGTGTGGTTCTCATTCCTGTTCTTAATGATTTGACTGCTGCAAGTTTAGCGCAAAAACGCATGATCGCACCGGCAAGCCTGGTACGTTGCATCCTGAGTTTGAAATTCCCATGTGCTCTTTGCCCTGTGTTGCCTTGCCACCACAACGAAATGTAGGGAACGGGGTTTCCTTTTCTCATTTTCTTTTTTTGTCTCTGCCACTTTGCATAGCGTAATTTTCGAAGTGTTCGCTTTCGTGTGCCTAATTACTTAATGCTTACTGCGTTACCAACCGTTGTTCAAACTGACATTGGCTTTTACCACCTACGTTTAACTGCACAAAACGTGGAATCTTGACATTCTTAGAGCTGACAGATGACGTACAAACAATCGTATCTTGACACTACTAGTCCGATATTATTCACATGTCAGAATTTTGCAGAAGCCGAAGTTACAGTATAAATCTGATTTGCAGCATTCAAGCCGAAAGACAATGAACTGAATTTTTCCCCTTTTCTCCTTCTCTGCTCTTTCCAACCCCTTCGCAGCACTTCTTTGCTGTCATGCATTGTTGGATTCTTTGTAATGAAGTGGACCAATTGAATGCCCAATCAGGTCAATACAACACACAAAACAAACTGCACCTTCAAAAAAAGATCTTCTTTGTTCCGGTTTTCTGCATGAATGTACGTTTTGCATGTTTGTATGTATGTTTGTGTTTTTTTGCATATGTGTGTATATGTATGTATGTTTTGACGCTCACATGTATTTCTCTGTATGGATGCATTCACTTATGGATGGATCCACGTAGAAGAGCGCATAGTAGTGCACTTAAATGCGCTCAGAGGTGTGTGCTGTATGCGTATCTGCACGTTTAAATGCGTGTACAAGCACTTTACGTGCGTGTGTGTGTAGGTGTCGCGCATACACATATGTATGAATGTATGTCTGTATGTAGCTTTGTGAATTCAATACTCCATGCATGCTGTTCTTCTGAACCGACGACGAAAAGGGAGTGTCGAAAAAAGACGCACTTTTTTTTCCGGGTCATCGCTGCTGTGGGTGGTTGTGTGCTGTCTGTGCACATCTAATGCTGTTCGCGTACAGCGCGTGAAAGAGGTAGTAGTAGATTTTTCGAAAATTCACTAACGATTTGTTTTAGCCGTAAAAGTTGAGTCACAGGCATGGCTTATCGGGCGTAAATGACGTTAGCGATTGTGACAAAGCAGAGAGGAGAAGCAGATACCGCCTCGCAGCTGTAGAACTGGGAAGCGGAGAGGAGTGGACCTGCTTCAATAGCGGTTTTTTCTGGAAAACGAGCAGTGCCACGATGAAGAAGGAGCAGTTGCTGCGCGTTTCGTGTCAAGAAAATGTGTACGTTGGTCAGGTGAGCGATATTTGTTCACAAGTCCGAGATATCTGTTTAAAATTTGGAAAGGAACCCACCGTTCTAGAGCAAAGATGTGTCCCATACTGCTACGATTATCCAAGCTGTCGCAAGTCCAATATTAACATTTGGAAGGAATAAGAGCGTTGTAGTCAGAGTTTATGCTTAACACATGACTTCGATTATAGCGCAATTCCAAGCAGGATGTCTGAGCGATCCCAGTGTTTCTGAGGAGTGGGAGTGATACAAAATCAGAGAGAAACAGGGGTCAGTGATGCTGCTGTTCACCGCTAGTTCAAGAATGAAGGAACGTTACCGTTTGCTTTGTTCTAGTGTTACACAGTCAACGCTAACTTGGACCTAAAGTAGCAAGTGAACTGTACTTCAGTGTGCTGCGTAATTCAGTAAGGAGCATTTGGCACCCTCCACCTTCGCTGTGAATTGTACTAAAAAAGCATGATTTCACCTGGTTTCAATTTCTAGTTGAGGACTTGGAAGAAATTAATTTTTAACTGCTCACTGTTCTCGTACTCGGCACAAAGTTTATGAATAATGAAGATCTCTCGTGCTTTATCAGTAATGAAAATTTCATCAATGTTGCAAAAACTCATAAAAATGGATAATCTTGATATTATTACTGAATGTATAATCCCAAAAGAATGTTACTTCCGGAAGTTAATTTTTTCATAATTACAGTCGCTTCCCAGTAATTTCTCTTGGGAAGCGACTGCATCATATTGCAGTCGCTTCCCAACAGAAATTACTAAGACCACCAGGAAAGTTGATGCGAGAATCCTGAATTAGTAATGTTACTGGAATTTCCCATGTGATGCGCAGCCCTTTCATAATGCTAGTTTGTTAGCCCTAGCTAGTACGCACTGCCTGATCAAGTGTGTATACGCCATTTCCTCAAAGATCTTCAGAGTGCTCGTTTACTTTCCCGCGATACCATTCACTGACACGCAATATCTACACGCCTATTTCACCCACTACATTTTACTTTCTTGCATGGTCAAAAGAATCGTGAGTCTCTTCCAGAAAATTTAAGTACCACGGTTGGACTGCTTCTCACTACAGGCAATATTGTGTCAAATTAAGATGGCACTGTTGGCGTTACGGAATCAGCTGCACCCATTAACTCTCACTAATTGTTGGATAAATTCGCAGTACTGATCTAGGAGCTCTCGGCAAGTATGGCTTATTTTAACTGATTCATATATGCAAAAGTAGCTAATTTCTCAGATAAAATTCTCAACTTTAGCCATTCAAAATTTTGGTCGATTTCGATTTCACACATGCCACACGGATCACATGCTTGACTGGTATCTTCGAGGGTAGATTCCGGACAGCTTTTGCGAATCAGGTGGAATATCAACAAATCATTGCTTTTCGAATCGAGTTCGATGCCTTGCTGCGCCAATGGTACACACGGCAAGGCAAAATAACCGCGCCGGCAGGCCATCATCGAGCGGAATCACGAATTGTTATCAGAGAACACTGCCCAGGAACCTATTTCGGGAAGAATGGTTGTATCGAATATGTGGTCGTCGTGAAGGTATTGTTCGTATAAGAATTTTTCCAAAAGAACTAGATAGTGCATGGCCTGGTTATATCGTTTTCTGAAAAATCTGTGTATGGCAAGCTATAAGGGCATCGGCAAAAACCTGAAGTTACTTCAAGCATGGCAACCTAGACATTTCTTGGTTTTTTTATTTTATTCCAATATATCCTACGGATAATTTACTCTGAAAGTCAGTGAATACTCTCGGAGCAGTTAGGTCGAACTAAACGAAGAAGAATATCGCGTCTGTGGCGCATCTGGCGTAGATTAAATCCGAAAGCAACTTCACAGTTTTGATCTCATTTTTTTGGCTTTGTACAAAAAAAAAATAACTGCTTAGCAACATTGTTCCGAGGTGGTTGCATCTTAACAATATCACTGGTGTGGAATACTCACCCCACCTGTCCTAGCGATTTTGATAAATCACTCTCTGATGACCCTAAACAAGAAGTGACATACTCAAAAATCTGGCACGCTCGTACCTCTTTTGTTACCTGTTCTCAGAAGCACAGCAATATCCAAAAGATGTATGAGTTTGTAAATTTCTAATTTCCATGAACTCCACCCTGCTCGTTTTCTCAAAAGACGGAAAAGAAACAGGTTCTTTATAACCCAACTAGATTTTATGTCACAGTTTTTTCAACAAAAACGGCGAAACATTCAGCTTGCCACAAAACACGAAAAAACCATTTGAAGAAAATGATACGCAAAGCAATTTGAAAGATGGAGAGGAGGCCCAGAAAAACTGAAAGGCACAGACTGACTCGAAATATTGGTACCGCTGTAAAATTTTGTCTTTCTTGTACTTGGAGGCTTGGCTGTACCAGAAATCAAACTTTGTTGCATAGTTGCGAAGACGCCGTTGTTCTAGCGAGTGGTGCCAAATGAATTTCCTAAGCTGTAGAAAAGACTGCACACGTACGTAATGAAGGTCTGTTGTTAGAAAATCTCTCTTCGCATTCTCACTTAGTGAGAGATGGAGACGGTCGGAAAGTAGCCAAGCAGAAGCAAGCACCACAGCAGGAGTGTCTCCCATGCAAGCGAATATGGGAGAGGTTTAATTTTGTTTGACGCCTCTTGTACTAGCTAAAATATAGGTCGGGACAGAACAGTCTGGTATAAATGCGCCTGTGCTGGATAACAACCAAATGCCAGACAGTTTCCGTATTTTTGGAAGGAAAGAAGACACTTTTAGACGTAGTTTCCGATCAGCGCATTTTTAGAAATTCTTAGGTTGGAGAAATTTTTTATTAGCTCATTCGCCTCACTTTTTAATTCTTTTCTATTTTTGTGGAGAATGACGGGAGAACGGAATAGAGAAAACGAACACGAAGTAGAAAAAAATAGGAATGAAAGAAGGGCAAAAATAAGCGTAAAGGAAATGCATGGTTTAATGTTCAGCTATCATTCGTTAGCAGAAAGGGAGGCAGAAAATTACGGCTCGATACAAAACATTTTAACAGGCAAATGTAACTTGGTGTTAGACCAAATGGGCTTACATACTCTGCTCGTTTTGCGAGTAACGATGTGGAGATCCAATGTTAGTGGTGCTAGTAGTAAAGCTTCCGAAAGAAAGTTATTCATGGAGAATGAATGCGAGGATTACAGATGCGCGTGGCTGGTCGTATTGGTAGCTCAGAGCTAACGCAAATGTGTCCGGTAAATGTGGTACCATTGGTGAATCTGGCGCATTATATGCCTTTCCGCATGCCGGTTTACATCGAGAAATGCTTCCACAAAAAACTGTTTTGTTTCAACAAATGCTCCGTCAATATTCAGCTCGAGCTACGTAGAGCTGCATTTGTTCGGGGTATGCAAATTCGAGAATCCTCTTAATGTAAAAACTCGATTTACTTTTTCATACATAACTAACTTCCACAGTAAAAAGGGCATTCAAGCAAAGGCCTAGCCTTTAGCTCTTCTAAGCACCTCTAGGCCAATTTTTCTTCCCCATGGCGACGTCACCAGTTTTCTCTCCTTAACTAAATTTCCTGCTTGTTTATCTGCTAACAGTCGCCAAAACTTCCGGGCTCAAGCCAGCGGTTCAATTTCACCATTTCAAGCCAACGCTGGATGAGAGAGCACTGTCATTTTTATGTGTTTTGTGCTGTGTAACAGCAGTACAAAACGCATATTGTTACGGGGTTGTCTGTGT